TCTTTTTCAATCCCATGTATACTCATTAGTCTGTATTTTCTAAACAATGCATAGCAATGTGTTGCTTACAGAAACATACTTATTAAACTAGATAGTGTCTGTGTGACATGAAATTGAGAAATCAGTGATATATAAAACAATACCCATCTCATTATACTTTCTTTTTATTTTGAAACCTATAGCTCTTTTCTGTAAAATACCTTATGTTCATATAGTGCTTATTATTGAGTTAGTACATATTTAGCATTCACACTTTTAATCAACAAGAAAAAGTTGGAAATGGTGGTTCACACTTATTATTTCAGCACTTGGCAGAAGACTGAGGATGAGAGGAAAGCAACAGAAACAGCTTTACTGAAGCAAGCAGCTGCCTGAGGGAAAAGAAAGCACCTTTACCCCTTGACCTGGGAATCAGCTAAGTGGATAGTGGACGTCTGTCTCATAGGGTCCCTGAACCCTCCTCTCATTTCCCACTTACTGATCCTGCTTGTGTCTGAGTAACTCTTTTTTCCACTCTTATCTCTCCCACAGTGTCCGTTTGGAGCAGGAAGTTGCCATCACAGAAGACCCACTTTCACTTCCCTTTTCCACAGGTATCCATTCTCACTTCCCCTCAAAATTAAAGCAATTTTTCCAAAAGGTTTCAGAGAATATAAAATGAAGCACTTTTTTTCATCTATGTGTGTGGGTCATACATTACTTGATAAAAATCAAAATATTTTCAAGAGGAAAAAAAACAGAGCATACTCATTCAGAAATATTGAGGTGTCTTGATAATGAAAGTCCAGTAACTAGTCCTAGTCCCAGAAACACGACAGTCAAAAAGCCTACCTCGAGTCAATGATGTTCAAGTTCTTGAGTTACAAATTCGAACAATGAAATTCAGGGACCACAGAGAATGACTTTCGAAAAAAGTGTTTTATTTTATTATAGATTCATGTGTGGTGGCTTAAGCAGATGAAGGAAAGAAAAAGAGAAACTGACTCCTATAAAGCAGGAAAGGTCCCAAGAAAAAGCACACGATCTGATAGTCTGCTTCGTGATCCTTTGCATCTAGATCAACCCAGATCCTCCCAAAGTAGGCCCCAGAATCCCACAGGGGGGTGTTCTCACCCCCACCTCCCTTTGAATCTCAGGGTGGCACAGTTAACAGCTTTCTGAAATCAGCATCCTTCCTTGGCCCTGCTTCTTGGCCAGCCCAACCCCCGATTTCCTGAGGGCAGCATCTTTCCTTAAGGAGTCTACTCTTAGGAGGAAGCCTGAGAGCATCTGATCTTCCTCTGATTGGGCCTCTATGGGAACTCCTGAAGACAAATTCAATGTGGCCACTCAGTACAAAATCAAAAGAGAAAATCTGAAGCCTAGACCAAATAGCATTTCATGCCTAGCAATTAAACCACAAAGGAACATAAAATTCACAAAAAGAAGCAGACCTAAACTCAAAAAAGGAAGGCTTGAGTCTCACATAAGCATCAGAAACTACAAAAGAAATTCAATGTCAAAGTCACAGAGAAAAAATAATAACATCAAAAACCAAAATGATGTAGCCCAATCAAGTACCAATAGTCCTCTAGAGGAGTACAAGGAAAACCCCCTAGAGAAAACACAGGACATGGAACTCAAAAGGACAGTTATAAACATGATAAAAGAATTCAGTGTATTTAAAGAATACACAAAGAAAGAACTGAAGGAAGATAGGGATAAAATTCTGAATGAACTCAGAAAAGAGTTAGAAATATTGAAGAATACTCAGACTGAAATGAAGAAGGAAGTGAAACACTCAATAAACCAACAAGAAAAGACAGGAGAAAGCCTCACCAATAAGATGAATGAAAAGGAAAATAGAATATCAAGACTGGAAGATAAAGTGAATGATTAGACCACTCAAGTAAAGATAATGAAAATTTTAAGAAAACACAAGAATTCAGTATGCAGGAATTGTGTGACACCATAAAAAGACCAAACCTATGAATCATAGGCATACAGGAAGGAGAAGAATATCAAGATATAGGTATGGACCATATCATCAACAGAATTATAGAAGAAAATTTCCCAAAATTAAAGAAAGACATGCCCATATAAATACAAGAAGCATATAGAATACCAAATAGACAGGACCAGAAAAGAAACTCTTCATGGCACATCATAGTAAAAACACTAAATGTACAGAAAAAAAGAGACAATACTTAAAGCTGCAAAAGGAAAATAAGTCACATAAAAAGGAAAACCCGTGAAGATTACAGCTGACATTTCAGTGCAAACAATGAAAACCAGAAGAGACTGGACCAAATATTCTAAATGACCACAAATGCACTCCCACATTTCTTTACCAGGCAAAATGTCTACTATAGTTGAAGGGGAAAGAAAAATCTTCCATGACATATATAGGCTGAAAGAATACATTTCCACCAAACAAGCCCTTCAGAGAGTTATTGAAACAATACAAAGAGTTGAAGAAAGAAACGACTATACCCAAGGGGTTATGGACAGAAATTCAATGAAAATATAACTGTGGAAATGTACAGTTATATCAAGAATGTGTACAGAAATAAAAAGGAAAGGATTCAATACACATCTTTCATTAATAACTTTAAATATCAATGGACTGAACTCCTGGTGCAAATACACTGTAGGACCCCCTGACTGGGGTACCCAACGTTCACGGGAGGCCGCACACCAATAACTCATTCCTCAAACCAGGAGATGAAACAAGCAAGAGGATTTAATTGCATCTGCAGACGGGCTTCTGCCTCACTCGAAAGGAGAAGCCCCGAATTCAGCTTACAAGCTGCTTATAAAGGCAAAAACCACAAACCACAAGCAATTCAAGCCAAGAAAAGCAGATGTGGGAGGGGGATTTCTCAGGTGTTTTCCAGCTTGGGCAAGGAGCATGAAAAGGTCAGCTCAGTCAGCTCTTTCTTAGCAGTTAGAATTATTTTTCATTTTTACTTCCTTGTACAATTTTTCTCAGGCTTGGGGGACTTAGTTTAAATCCATCATTCTGGGGGACTTGGTTTGATTCCAACATTCCCCCCTTTTCTTATGGTGAGATTTTAATCCTAAAATTTATAGATCTTCTGTTCTCTTTGAAGCATGATATTGCTGAGTAAGGACCAAAGCCTGAGTCACTGATAATCGGTTCGTGATAAATTGAAGCAGTTTGTTGAGGATACATGGCCTGAAGGTTAAAAGAAGGAGAAGAATTACTAGGGGGCCTATTAGGGTGGGCACTAAGGTAGTCAACCAGGGCTTTTTATTAAACCAGCCTTCAAACCATCCCTGTTTGGATTCACGTTCTTTTTGTTTTTTATCTAATCTCTGGCAGAGTTTAGTCATAGAATCTTTAACAACCCCCGAGTTGTCAGCATAGAAACAACATTCTTCGCCTAGAGCTGCACAGAGTCCTCCTTCCTTGAGGAAAAGCAGATCCAGCCCCATTCTATTCTGTAATACTACTTCTAAGAGGGAGGTTAGGGATTTCTCCAAGAGGGTAATTGATTGTTCTATTGCCCTAATGTCTTCATCTACAGCCATCTGTAAATCTACATAGTATTGTGCTCCTTGTATTAGGGCCGCTGTTCCAGTTCCTACCCCCGCCGCCACCCCTGCTCCTAGAAGTATTGCTAGGGTCAGGGACATAGGATCTCTTTTATATCTGCCTGGGTGTTGCTCAAAAAACTGTTCTATGGAGTTTGCGGGGTGATAGAATACTCGGGGTAGAAGCTTAATCATGACACAGTAGTCGTGAGAGGTTTTAAGGACCATACTAGCTACACAGGGAGTTAACCCAGAATTACATGCCCACCAAGCCCCTTGCGGAGGTAGGAGATAATAATTCCCTTCTCCTGGGGGTACAGAAATAGTGGAGTTGCAAAGGTGGGCGTGAGTTAGAGGTGGGTTTCCTAAACAGAGCCTAGATCCCGAGACTTCTGTGAGAGTTAGGGGGTGAGGGGTCTCTCTATGACATTGGTCGGCTGAGGTGGTCTTATTGAATGTCCCTAGTGTAGCTATGCCTTCGTAGTAAGGGGGTGCTGCTGCTAAACATAGCCAACAGGATTTAGTCAGCTTAGAGTCTGTTTGTCTAATAGCCTTATTTGCTCCTTGAATTAAATTAAACAGTCGGTCCCCCGTAGGCGAAACCTTTTGGCTTGGGGGGCTGGAGGTCTGTTTTGACAGGATATGGGTGGGGGAAGCACCAGAAAAAGGGTTGGGGAGGTGCTGTGAGGTGAGGTGCAGTGAAGTGACTTCAGGTATTAAGGCTGGTGGGGGATTTGGGTAGCTAGGGATGGGATTTTGGATAGGTAAAATGGGGTTGGGGCCTATAGCTACTGGATAGGAGGAGATGTCTCTTTTGATAGTAAACAAGAGGCCAGGATCTGTCCCCTCCTTGTATATCCTAATTCCCCAGGAATGTCCCTTGTCCCAATCTGTGACCTTTTTTCCTGCTGCTGTGAATTCTACCTGGAGGGGGTGGCACCATTTACCTTGACAGTCCTGATTAGGAACATTTGGGATCTTATGGGAATAATTTGCTTTTACAGTGATGTAATCCCAGGATGAGGATGGGGACCACCCGGTGTCCCCTGTTGTTTCACATCCCCAATTTTTACAGAAAAAGTAGTCCCTTTCTCCACATTGGGAATTGAGCCACTTATCTCAATGGTTACCTGGACAAACATAGAAGGTTAACAGACACAACTTGGTTCATTGTGGTTCACGACACCCTCCCCATGCTAAGTGGGGTCCTCCGAACAGGGGGTAAGATTCCGGGCCAGGTACTTTATCAGGATCCGTAAAGTCTGGTATGTCCCAGGGCGCTGGTGCTCCTAAGGCTAATTTACACAAATCTGGATACAGTATAGGCCACCAAGTACCCTTGGGTGCCATCTTGTGGGTTTCAAACACTACAATACCGATTTGATTGATTATCCGCCAGGTAGTCAGCACAGGGAGATGGGGGCTTCCTTGACTAGGGACAAACCTACAAACAAATAGAATCATTAGGTATCTCTGGAGAGTCTTATTTTTAGGGGGTTGGATGTTTTGTGCAGATGCCATCTTCCAGCATCCTCCTGGGTCGGGGCTCTTTTGGCGTGGGAAGTGTGGATCCAGGCTGAAATCCCATCTACTTTGAGGGCTGTGGGCATAGTCAGGAGAACTGTGTAGGGTCCTTTCCACCGTGTTTCAAGAGTCTTCACGTTGTGTCTTCTCACGTACACCTGATCTCCAATTTGGTAGGAGTGAGGCATTTGTGGACTACCAGGCCAGTAGACAGCAGCCAAGGGCCTCCAAACCTGGTTCTGGATGATCTGGAGGGCTTGGAGTCTTGTTTTTAGGCTGGGGTTATCAAAAGAAGAGGGCAAGGGGGACAAGGTTACATTAAGGTCAGGAGGCGGTCCTCCAAAAAGGATTTCGTAGGGGGTTAGGCCGTGTATAGCAGGAGTATTTCTAGCCTGAAGTAGGGCTAGAGGTAGGAGCTGCACCCAGTCTTTAGTGCCCGTCTCTAGAGCTAATTTGGTTAAGGTCTCTTTAATGGTTCTGTTCATTTTTTCTACCTGTCCTGAACTTTGGGGTCTGTAAGCACAATGTAATTTCCAATTAATCCCCAATGCTTTGGCCATTCCCTGGCTTACCTGGGAGACGAAGGCTGGGCCATTATCAGACCCAATTACCTTGGCCGGTCCGAATCGAGGGAAGATTTCTTCAATCAGCTTCTTCACCACAGTCTGGGCTGTTTCCTTTCTGGTGGGGAAAGCTTCAACCCACCCTGAAAAAGTGTCTATAAACACTAAAAGATATTTATAACCATATTTTCTGGAAGTACTTCAGTAAAATCTACTTCCCAGTTAGTCCCTGGTCATTAGTCCCTGGTCGTGTTCCTCTTTCTCTCTTGCCAGATGGGACCTTTGATCTGGAAGCATTTATCAGGGAACATGAGACACAATCTCCTACTACCTTCTGAACTAGCTAGTTAAGGTCTGGGAAGTAATAGAATTGTTCTTCTCTTTCTAGTAGTGTTTTTAGTTTCATGTGTCCTAAGTGTGTCCATTGGTGGAGCTGGGAGATTAGCTCAAGAGCTGCCTTTCGGGGAAGCACTACCCTATCCTGGTGTCTCCACATTTTGGATTCTGGGTCCCGGGTAGCATTGAGCTTCTGAACGAGTTCCAGATCTTGTTCAGTATAGGTAAAAAGAGCATCTCCCTCCTTTGTGCCTCAATTTCAGCCTTAAGGTTGGAATGGGTGTAGAAAATGCAGGTGCCTTCTGCTGCCTGACGAGCAGCTTCATCTGCCATTCGATTGCCTCGAGCAATCGGCCCTTGGTCTCGCTGATGTCCAGGGCAATGAATTATGCTGACCTTTTTAGGCAAGTATAAGGCTTGTAGAAGGGCCACTATTGTTTCTTTGTTTTTAATGTCCTTACCAGGCGAGGTGAGGAGTCCCTGCCTCTGGTAAATTTCCCCATGTATATGGGCTGTGGCAAATGCATAGCGGCTGTCGGTGTAAATGTTGACCTTTTTGCCCTCTGCTAATTTTAGGGCCTGGGTTAGGGCTTCTAATTCAGCCCATTGGGCTGATGTTCCATCTGGCAGGGCTTGGGCCCAGATTATCTTTTCCCCATCGACCACCACCGCCCCCGCCTTATGCTCACCATCTTGTAGAAAGCTGCTCCCATCTGTACACCAAGTGGCATCTGCATCTGTTAGGGGCTGGTCAGTGAGGTCTTCCCTGGTCCATTGTGTCTCCGCAAGTATTTGCAGGCAGTCATGGGGAATCTCAGTGCCTTTTTGGGGGCTGGTAGCAGTGTGGCGGGGTTTAGGGTGGCAGGGCTACCAAACTTGATCTTTTCTGGATTTAGTAGTAGTGCCTGGTAATGGGTCACCCTGGCATTTGACAACCATCTGTCAGGAGGCTGTCTAATGATGGACTCCACTGCATGTGGTGTTTTAACAGTTAGGGGCTGACCCATAGTGAGTTTGTCTGAGTCTTTAACCAGGGATGCTATTGCTGCCATGATTCTCAAGCATGGGGGCCAGCCAGCAGCCACATTGTCCAGTTTCTTTGAGAGATAAGCTACTGGCCTTTTCCAGGGTCCCAAGGTCTGAGTAAGGACCCCTTTTGCCATCCCTTTATTTTCATCTATATATAAGACAAAAGGCTTTGTCAAGTCCGGCAATCCCAGAGCTGGAGCCATCAGCAGTGCTCTTTTTATTGTGTAAAAGGCTCTCTAATGTTCTTCAGTCCAGACGAAAGGAGTCCCATTCTTTGTCAAAGGATATAGAGGAGCCGCTATTTCAGCAAAACCCGGTATCCATAATCTACAGAATCCTGCGCTTCCCAAGAACTCTCTGAGTCCTCTGGCTGAGGTTGGTGGGGGGATAGAGGCTACTGTCTGTTTCCTGCTTTCTGTCAGCCAACGTTGCCCTCCCTCCAGCCTATAGCCCAAATAGTTCACCTGATGTAGGCAGATCTGGGCTTTCTTTGCTGAGGCCCGGTATCCAAGTTCCCCCAGTCTCAGTAGGAGAGCCTCTGTACCTTGCAGACAGCCAGCTTCTGTCTCAGCTGCTAAGAGGAGGTCATCCACCTATCGAAGAAGCATAATCTGTGGGTTTCTTACCTAAAAGTCAGCCAGATCACGGTGTAGCGCTTCATCAAACAGATAGGGGAGTTCTTGAATCCTTGGGGAAGTCGCGTCCAGGTTAGTTGCCCTGATATTCCAGCTTCAGGGTCCTTCCATTCAAAAGCAAAAATGGGCTGGCTAGCTGGGCTCAGTCTTAGGCAGAAAAATGCATCCTTTAGGTCAAGAACAGTATACCACCTGTGACTAGGAATCAAGGTACTCAGGAGATTGTAAGGATTTGGAACAGTGGGGTGTATATCCTCTATCCTCCAATTGACTTCTCTTAAGTCTTGGACTGGTCGATAGTCATTTGTTCCTGGCTTCTTTATGGGGAACAGCGGGGTGTTCCAAGGGGACTGGCAGGGGCGAAGTATACCTATTTGTAAAAGTCTTTGAATATGGGGTCTGATTCCCTCTCTCACTATTGGAGGCTGGTTGCATGCCAGTCCTGGGCCTCCTGTCTCGGCCCATGCTAAAGGAATTTTACTTAGCCAATCGGATATACCAGGAGTTTCTTCTATCGGTCCCTCATATAACCGATGTTCATCTTCCAGTCGCAGGGTTAATACCTGTAGTGGAGCTCCATCTTTTCCTTGTACAGTGGCTCCCTTTCTGGTGAAGTGGATGTGGGCTCCCAGCTTAGAGAGTAAATCTCTCCCAAGAAGGGGATATGGACAGTCTGGGACCAGTAAGAATGAGTGGGAGACCTGTCCTGTGCTGAGGTCCACTTTTCTTTCTGTGGTCCATCTGTATGCTTTTCCTCCAGTAGCCCCTTGGACCCAGGCTGTTTTGGAACTCATGGGTCCCTCAGTTGTTTTCAAAACTGAGTGTTCAGCTCCTGTGTCTACCATGAAGTTGGTCAATTGCCCCCCATCTTTAAAGTTACCCTGGGCTCAGGGGGGAGCTCCTGGCCCCAACTCCCATAATCCCCTAGGGTCAGGACTGGGGTTGTCTTCTTTTGGAGTCTATTCAGCTTCTTTGGACATTCTCGAGCCCAATGTCCTCTCTCCTTACAATACGCGCATTGGTCTTTGTCCACTTGAGGTCTTCTTTTGTCTCCCAGGTCCCTACCTGGTCCTGCTCCCTGGACTACTGTGGCCAAAATTCTACTCAACTCTTTGTTTCTCTTTTTCTCTCTCCTATCTTCTCTAGCTTCCTGTTCTTTTCTGATTCTGTCCTCTCTTTCTTCTAATGTCTCTCACTTATTATAAATTTTCTCAGCTTCCTTTACTAAATCCTGTAAGGAGTACCCCTGAAGGCCTTCTAGCCATTGGAGCTTACAACGAATGTCAGGAGCTGATTGTCCTATAAAGGCCATAATAAGATCTGCCTGATGCTCCTGGGCCATGTGGTCATAAGGGGTGTACATCCTATATCCTTCTATTAGGTGCTCTAGGAACCCTGCGGGGGTCTTATTTTCCCCCTGGGTTATAGCACGTACCTTTGCCAAACTGGTTGGGCGCCTTCCAGCCCCTTTGAGACCCGCTATCAGAGTCCAGTGATAAATACGGAGACGCTCCCTACTGGCCATGGTCTCATGGTTCCAGTTGGGTCTGGTCAGAGGAAATCCTTCATCTATCTCATTTGGGAGCAAAGTGGGTCTCCCATCCTCCCCGGGGACGTTTTTCTGGGCTTCCAGGATGACTCGCTGTCTCTCCTCTCTAGTTAAAAGTGCCTAGAGGAGTTGTTGACAATCCTCCCAGATGGGTTGGAGAGTGAGAAGAATAGACTCTTTCAAAGCAGTTAGAGCCTGGGGGTCCTGAGGAAAAAAGGGGTTATGGTTCTTCCAATTATACAAGTCAGAGGCTGAAAAAGGCCAATACTGGATCTGATCCCCTGCAGTTCGGAGAGGAAGAACCTGGGCAGTCCTGGTTCCATCAGAGGGGCCCCCTCTGTCCCTTCCCAGGCGAAGTCTGCTAGATGGAGGGGGGAATTGGTGGGGTTTGGTAGAGTCAGGAGAGGGATGAGGTAGTTCTTGGGGTGGAAGTGCCTGTGCAGGTGGATAAGGAGGTGGAGGATCAAGGAGGGTTAGGGAGGCTTGGTCCTCAGGGAGGACTGGCTTCTGCTTCTTCTTCTCAGGGAAAGACAGGAGGGGCAGGGAAAGGTAAAATTAGGGGAAGCTGAAGGGGTGAGGAGCCCTTGATCAGTCTCTCTGGTTCCCCGTGGAGGTAAGAATGGCCGTGCCCAAGGTGTGGGGTTCCGGGCCAAGTCTTCCCAGGTGACTATATAGGCCACCTGGTCCGGGTGTCCATGTGGTCCTGGGTGGAAAATGTATTCCTTAACCTGTAAGATAGTAGCAAGGTCAAAAGTCCCATCCTTTGGCCATCCTTTTTCGAAAGAGGGCCACTCAGAGGAACAGAGAGTCTTCCACTTCTTCTTTTGAACCTCTACTGATAAGCTGCGGGCCCATTCCACGACCTCCTTCCAGTATTCCAGAGTTAAGCTTAAAGGGGTAGTCAGAGATTGACCCATGGTAGAGGTCACAAGAGAAAGAGAGAGAGAGAGAAATGAAGATGCCACTCCAGACAATAGTGACCAGTGAGTGTGCTTGTGGACGAGTACCTATTGTTGCCCAGTTTTTCTTCTGAGGGGGACGTGAATTTATCTGGGATTTACTCCTGGGACCCCCTTATCCTTCCACGGGAGTCTTTTAGCAGTGAGCACCCTGTGGCTCTTATTTGCTCGACCTGTGCCCGTGGGGCTTTTTCAGTGGCCAGAGAAAGAGAGAGATCGAGAGGAGAGGGAGACACAGAAAGACCGTCTTGTCTCCACCCGTGCGGGCAGTTGGGGTCTGCTAAGAGGGTTAAGAGCCTTTGGCTTACATCAGGGAGTGGCCCTGACCCCAAAACCTCAATTGCTCTTTCACCTTTAACAGTCCCATGCAAAGACTTAGACTGAGAATAAAGGGAAAGTGGAGGAAAAGGGAGGTTTAAAATAGAGATCGTAGAGAAAAATACAAAACCAGACCTTCCCCTTTTTAAGATAGTAATATAACCTTCAAGCACGCACACATCACACTGAATCACATTTTTGTGTACCGGTCTTTCTTTCACTCAAACACACACTGCACTCATCATTTTCACTGTCAGGATCCCCAAGTACAAACACAAACAAACACAAAACAAAGAATCCTCGCCCCGGTTTCTTGACTCAAAACTGAAAGTACAGATCGGGAGGGGAGTAGCCAAGGCAATCTCCCTTCTTCTCCCGGGGTGAGGAAAGCTACGCTGTCCTCTACACTCCAGATCACTCTGGTCACTAAGGCCAGAGTGGTGGAACCAGGGGTCTCTGGGCACATCTGCCATTCCCACTGGTTCCCAGAATACAGACTTACAGGTCCTGTACAGGCGCAATTGTTCAGACGGAACGTTCCCAGAACAGGAAATGACTGACAGACAGTAAGACCAAGACAAACCACAAGACGTCTGTTCTTACCTCCTACTGATCTGAGGAAATGGGTCTGGGGGCAACCAAATCCCAGACAAGCACCCAAATGTAGGACACCCCCTGACTGGGGTACCTAAAGTTCACGGGAGGCCACACCCCAATAACTCAGTCCTCAAACCAGGAGATGCAACAAGCAAGAGGATTTAATTGGGTCTGCAGATGGGCTTCTGCCTCACTCAAAAGGAGAAGCCCCGAATTCAGCTTACAAGCTGCTTATAAAGGCAAAAACCACAAACCATAAGCAATTCAAGCCAAGAAAAGCAGAAGTGGGAGGGGGATTTCTCGGGTGTTTTCCAGCTTGGGAAAGGAGCATGAAAAGGTCAGCTCAGTCAGCTCTTTCTTAGCAGTTAGAATTATTTTTCATTTTTACTTCCTTGTACAATTTTTCTCAGGCTTGGGGGACTTAGCTTAAATTCATCATTCTGGGTGACTTGGTTTGATTCCAACAACACAGAGTAGCTGAATGGATTAAGAAACAAAACCCATCTTTTTGTTGTCTGCAAGAAACTCATCTCACTTTCAAGGACGGGCACTACCTTAAGGTGAAAGGATAGAAAAAATTTACCAAACAAATGGCACTAAGAAAAAAGCAAGTGTTGCAATTCTAATATCTGATAAAATACACATTAAACTAAAACTAATCAAAAGAGATAAAGAGAGCCATGTCATTCTGATCAAAGAAACAATAAACCAAGAAGATATTACAATCATGGACATATATTTGCCAAACTCTGGTGCACCCAGCTTCATAAAAACAGTACTACAGAACATTAAGAGCCAGATTAATCCCAACTCATTAATAGTATGGGACTTCAATACCCCATTATCTCCATTACATAGGTCAACAGAACTGATAATTAACAGAGAGACATCTGAATTAAACAATACCATATATCAAATGGGCCTTACAGACATCTACCGAATATTCCACCCAAGCATCAAGAACATACTTTCTATTCAGTGCCCCATGAAACCTTCTCCAAAATCGACCACATATGAGGCAAAAAACAAACCTTAGCAAATACAAAAAGAGTGAAATAATTCCATGCATTCTATCAGACCACAATGCAATAAAGCTTAAAATCAACACCTGAAAAAAAACCCTAGTAACCACTTGAACACATGGAGATTAAACAAGACACTACTGAATGATGAATGGGTCAAAGGAGAAATTAATAAAGAAATAAAAGTATTCCTGGAACTAAATGAAAAGGACAATACAACACAACAAAACCTCTGGGACATGCTGAAAGCAGTCCTTAGAGGAAAGTTTATAGCTCTAAGTGCCTACATTAAAAAATCAGAAAGAACACAAATAAATGACTTAGCATTGTAATTCAATACACTTGTAAACCAACAACAAATGAAACCTAAACCCAGCAGAGAAGAAGAAATAACAAATTCAGAGCAGAAATTAATGAAATAGAAACAAAGAAAACAATAAAAAATCAATGAAACCAGGACCTGGTTCTTTGAAAAGATAAACAAGATTGATAGACTGATAGCCCAGTTAACCAAAAGAAGGAAAGAGAGCCTCCAAATCAAAAATCAGAGATGAAATGGGAAACATCACAATAGACACCAAAAAGATCCAGATTATTATAAGGGAATGCTTTAAAAATCTATATGCTGCTAAATTTGAAAACATAAAATAAATGGACAGTTATCTAAAAGCATGGGAATCACCATAACTAAACCAAGAAGAGATTAATAACTTAAACAGGCCCATAATTCATAAAGAAATTGAAACAGTAATACAAAACCTCCCAACTTAAAAAAACCCAAGACCAGATGAATTTATAGCAAAATTTTACCAGACATTTAAAGAAGATCTACATCTAATACTATTTAGTTTATTAAAAAATATAGAAGTGCAGGAAGAACTTCCAAATTCCTTCTATGAAGCCAGCATCACTCTCATATCAAAGCCAGTTAAAGATACAACCAAAAACAAAACAATAGACCCATATCCTTAATAAATATAGATGCAAAAATTCTCAACAAAATATTTGCAAACCGCATATAGACACACATCAAAAAGATCATCTACCATTATCAAGTAGGCTTTATTCCAGAGATGCAGGGATGGTTCAATATATGTAAGTCAATAAATGTCGTAAATCATATAAATGGGCTCAAAGATAAGAACCACATGGCCATCTCAAGAGATGCAGAGAAGGTCTTTGATAAAATTCAACATGTATTTATTTTCAAAGTCCTAGAGGGAATTACACTTGAGGAAACATACCTCAACATAATTAACGCCATGTATAAAAAACCCATAGCCAACATCATTCTAAATGGAGAAAATCTGGAAGCATTCCCTTTGAAATCAGGAATCTGACAAGACCGTACGTTATCTCCACTCCTCTTTAACATAGTGCTTGAAACTCTTGCAATAAAACAAGAAAAGGAAATTAAAGGAGTAATAATTGGAAGAGATCAAGTTATCCCTTTTTGTAGTTGATATGATATTATATATGAGATGCCAAAAATTACACCAGAAAAATCCTAGAAATTATTAACACAATCAGTAAATTGGCAGGTTACAAAATTAATCGACAGAAGTCTGTAGCCTTTCTACATACCAATAACAAGCAGTCAGAGAAAGTGTGCATGGAAACACTCCCCTTCACAATAGCTGCAAAATTATCTTGGAATAAACCTGACCACATACATTAAAATCCTCTAAAATGAAAATTTCAAACATTTAAAGAAAAGATTGAGGAAGACACCAGAATTTGGAAGGACCTCCCATGCTCATGGATTAGAAATGAAACACCTAAATCTTTAAAGAAAGATTGAGGACGACATCAGAAGATGGAAGTATCTCCCATGCTCATGGATTGGAAGACTTATTATTGTGAAAATGACAATACTTCCAAAAGCCATTTATAGATTCAATGCATTGATATTCAAAATCTCCTTGATATTTTTCACAGAATTGGAAAAAAAAACATTCTAAGATTTATATGGAAGCACAAAAGACCTAGGACTTCCAAAGCAACACTGAGCACTAAAACCAATGCTGGGGGGTTACTATGCCAGATTTTAAACTGCATTTCAGAGCCATAGTCATAAATACACCATGGTAATGGAACAAAAATAGACCCATAGACCAAGAGAACAAAATTGAAGACCCAACTATGAGTACACGCAGTTTTAGCCACCTGATATTTGACAAAGGGGCCAAGAACATTCACTGGAGGAAAGACAGCATGCTCAGCAAATGGTGCTGGCAAAACTGGATCTCCACCTGTAGAAGAATGAAACTAAACCCTGTCTTTCACCTTGCACAAAAGTCAACTCCAAATGGATGAAAGACCTCAGTGTGAAGCCTGGAACTCTGAAACTGTTAGAAGAAAACATTGGCAATACCCTACAATATATAGGTGTAGGAAAGGATTTTCTAAACCAGACATCAAATACTCAGGAAACAAGTTCAAGAATCAACAAATGGGACCTCATTAAACTAAAAAGCTTCTGTACATCAAAAGAAGCAACCAAGGAAGTGAAGAGAAAACCCACAGAATGCGAGAAAATATTCATCAATGCCACATCTGACAGAGGTTTAACATTCAAAATATATAACAAACTCAATAAACAAAGAATCAAGGAAGGAAGTAACCCAATTAAAAGATGGGCTAAGGAACTGAACAGAGTTCTCAAAAGAAGAAATAAAGATGGCTAAGAAGCATCTTAAAAGGTGTTCCACATCATTAGTAATTAGTGAAATGTAAATTAAATCTACATTAAGATTTCATCTTACCCCAGTCAGACTGGCCAAGATCAAGAGAACAAATGATACTAAATATTGGAAAGGATGTGGGAAAAGGGGAACACTCATCCACTGCCGGTGGGAGTGCAAACTTGTACAACTCCTATGGAAAGCAGTGTGGAGAACTCTTGAAAAAACTAAAAATAAGCCTACCATTTGTCCCAGTTATACCACTCCTTTGCATATACCCAAAGAACTCATCCTGTTGCAGAGACATTTGTACATCCATGTTTGTTGCTGCCCTTTT